ATAATGAAAAACGTTTACTAATAAGGTACAGACCTGGTCATTGATCTTGAAGGAATTAAAAGGGCTTGAAAAACTTTCAAGATAAGGAAATATAAGCAAAATTAGTATTCACTGCACAAATCAGGTAATTAGTTCCAATACTGGTAAACAAATATCATGCCTCTACCGGTTCTATAGATAACAAGTCTCTCTTGGTTATTTTAATCAATTATTTTTAGATTAAATAGTTTTAATCAAAATTAGAACAGAGTGTCTTTTACAAACTTCAAAGTGTAAAATCATATGATATACTCATTTAATTACTATGAATGTGACAGGTTATGCTTTTTAGAGCTTCATGACCACACAGATTAAGTATATAAAATGCAGTATCTTTTTAAAGGTCTTCTATCAGAGAGTAATGCCACATCCAGTTTCTCAAATTTACTTTGATCTAGAATAAAATGTAAAAGTCTCTCTTAAAATGATTTGAGTGGTACCATAAATCAAAAGGGCAGAAAGATATCAAAATCATTTCGATTTTATAAAAAAATCAAGTCCTCATGAAAAGAAAAAATCAAAAGAAATACTCCAAAGGTTTTACCTTTTATATTTGTCCCTGACATGGTTGATTACTTTCAATTTTACTTTGTATAAAGACTGCATTTTTAAAAAACAATTACTCTCCCAAAAAAATTTTCATTGGTTCACAAAGGCAAACATTTTTCCTCCTATTTTAACAAAATCTAACACGAGGCATTTTATAATTACAAATAATGGACTAAAAAGTGAGCAAATAACCATTCTTAAAGTATCATGGAATTATGAAAAAAGTAAGTATGAAAATCCATTGAACATCTTACCCAGCAAACAGAATGTTCTATGGTCTGTTCTGGTAACCCAATTCAAACACTAAAAAACAAAGTCTTTACAACTCTTATTTTTTCTACTATCAAATTTCAAAATCCATGTAGGCCACTCAACATACTCTTAAAATCAAAATCTCATATGGAATAGCAAGCAATTTAATAGGGACTATCAACTAATAGCCCTTGACAATTTTTCAGTACTCACTCTCTTCCCTTGTACTCTACATAGTTCTACCACATCTTAAACCAGCCAAAGGCAGGAATTATTTGTTTTCCTACAGTGTCTTATAGCATCTTTGAAACTGCCAATGCCTATAATGGTTTAATAGCTATCCAATAAAGCAATAAATATTAATTCTGGAAAGATAGTGATTCTCCCATTAAGAGAAAGTTGCAATGCAATTTCAATTATTACTGTAAATTTGAAGGAAATCGATGAAATTTTTCTACAACTTACTTATAACAGTGTATGTTGTATGCCCTTTATACAGAGGAGGGAGGGAAGAAGGCAGCAAGCAAGAAGAGAGAGGTATACTATCTAGTGAAACCAAACAGCCACACTTAACATTAATTAGCTAAAGGAGCAGGGTCAAGTTCTCTCAGGAAGAACTTCAATCTCCCTACATGTTTTATAAGTAAAGCATGTCAAAATAAATATTTTTTTAAAACAAATAAGTCACCTATATTTCTAAGAATATAACAGTAAAAGTAAACAAATATTGGGGGGAATAATAAAAGATATCATTTGGCAATTCCAAAAAAAGGAAATACATTCATAATAACAGCAATATGGTAAAGATCCTCAAGAGACATACCACCTATACTTAAATCAAAGTTCTGTCACTACATAAATACATGGAAATGGGAAAAGTACTTTATGTAATTCATTTTTCTAATTTACAAAATGTGATAATAACCTATACCTCACAAAACTGTTGAGCATTAAATGAGATAGATGTGAGTATACGCTGAGATAGATGCTCATAAGAATATCTAGTATGGTCCCTCCCTGGTGGTGCAAGGGGTTAAAACCCACAACACCATGAAGCTATTCTCAGCCACTGCACCACAGGTTCAGTCCCTGGCCAGGGAGATAATCCACATGGCACAGCAGATCACCCCTTAGCAGTGTGTTTCAGACAATCCACCTGTTCAGTTTGCCATTCTGTCTCTGATGAAACCTCTCATTCCCTGTACCCCAATTCTTGAATGAATAAATATTTTTTAAAAAAGAATGTCAAGTACATGTAAGTGCTCAACAAGCACGATTTTTGAAAATATAATTGTTGCTATAGCCAAAATACATAATAAACTATTGCAACCATATTGGTGTTCGAAACTAATTAATGCAGTAACAAAATTCCACTTGTCACAAAAAAGATAGGTTCTTGCTATTTGCAGCAACATGGATAGAGTTGGAGGGGATTGTGGTAAATAAAATACTCTGGAGGAAAAGATAAATACCAGATGGTGTCACTTATATATGGAATATATAAAAACCAAACAAAAGGTCAGATAAAGCCAAACTAATAACAAACCTTAAAAAGCTGAATATTGTACTGATGTTACCAGAGGGAAAGAAAAAGGAGTGAAAACAAGTCAGCAAAAAACACAATGTATTATGGTGGTATAATGACTCGCCAAGCACTGGTAATATAAAGGTATAAAGACAGGCTTACTCCTTGTATTATGAGGTTTACAATATAGCAAGATAGACAAAAAGAAAAAGGAATAGGGGAATCCCTGGTAACATAGGGGTTAAGTCTCAGCACTATCATGCTATCACCACTGCAGCCTGAGTTAGATCTTACCACCAGGGAGATGACGCACACGGTGCAGCAGACCTCTTCTGTCTTGCCTGCTGCTCCCCTCAACAGTGTGTTTCATCAATCAGTCTCTGGGCAATCTTCTCACCTCCCCCACCCCACATCTCTGGCCTACATCCCAGCTTTTGTATGCATAATTTTTAATTTTTTAAAAAGAGTATCATGTTAAAATAGTATCATAGTCACCTAATAGTAAAATCAAATGTTATCTGACCTATTTCATGTCTCCATATGTATTTTTCAAGTTCACTACAATTTAACTATAAAGATAACATAATACAAAAGGCATAATTTCCAATTTGATATTTAAACAACTGTCCTAAAAATTAAATGCACCATATATCATCTTCAAAATAACATTCAAAAACAAATGGAAAAACTAGGATATCTACTGAAAGGGCATTATGTGGAAAGCCAATTGTGCATTCCTATGAGCTAACCTTTCATGGGCAGCTGTAACCTACTTGTCATCTGCATATCACACATAGCTTTCCTTGACTACCTACAGAGAATAGCCCATATCACTGAGCCTGGGGATGCCTAGGCCACCGTTGACATGACTGCATGACTATCTTCATGGTGGGCTGGGAAAACTGCCAGTGATAGCATTAACTACTTTGCTGGAGCGAATGTCTCTTGACATATGGTAGAGATATCCCCTTCTCTGTTCCTTGTAAAACTTTGCCCCCAAACCTTATTCCTCATACCACTGTTCCATGATCAGCTTTTACTAGCCTCTCTGTGCTTTCAATAAATGGCACAAGAACTTCTGCTCAAGTAGTAGAGTCTTGTCTTGCAAACCTGCCCCATAACTGTTGTTCCTTCATCACGTTCACACCACAAAGCAGCAACAAAATTCCTGTTGCAACAACCAATTTCTTCAATATTAAAAACCTTCTATTAAGGGGATTTTGGAACACCTAAGATGTATGCTGCATTTATTGAAATAAAAAATTAAAATTAATAATAACTAACCATGAAAACAAGATCTCAAAGAGACACCTGCACACCCACTGTTCATTGCAGCATTATTCACAATGGCCAAGATAGGAAAACACCCAAAGACTCAGTCAGTAAATAAAGGAAGATATCATATGTATACACACACACATACACATGCACACAGAGGAATAGTTCTCAGTCATGAGAGAGAAAGCAATTTTGCCGTTTGCAACAACATGGATCATCCCCGATTGTGTCATGCTAAAATAGTAAGTCAGACAAGCATGACATGGTATTTGCTCTATGTGGAATATAAAAAGGCTGAACTCAGAAACTGAGAATGGAATTATGGTTACTATGGACTAGAGAGTGAGGGAGATGGGAGAGATATTGGTAAAAAAGGGTACAAACTTTCAGTTATAAGACAAGAACATTTTAGGAACCTAAAAGTTGGTAACTATGGTTAATGATACTGTATTATACATTTGAAAATTGCTAAAAGAGTAGAACGTAAGTGTTCTTATCACAAGAAATAATGGTAATCATGTGACAAGGGAGAAGGGTTACCTGTAGTTATGGTAATAGTCATCTAACAATATGTAAACAGGGCCCTCCCTGGTGACGCAACAGGTTAAAGCACAGCACTATGAAGCGACTGACAGCCACTGCCACTTTCCATCCCAGTCACGAAGGGGACCCACATCATGTGGCAGACCTCTCCTGTCTCCCCTACTACTCCCCTCAGTAGTATATTTCAGTCAATCTGCCTGTTCTGCTCCCCACTTTGTCTCTGGTGAGTCCCATAACCCCTCGTACCTCTGGCCTGTACCCCAGTTCTTATATGCATAAAAATAAATATTTTTAAAAATATATGTAAACATATTTGAAATTTTAAACTTACACAAAATATATGTCTAAACAGGCTATATATATACTCACTTTTAATCTAAAACACTATCATGAAAAAGTTAATAGGACTTAATATATATTAATACCTATTAAAATAATTTTAACTATTATAACATCAGCTTAATGAATAATTCATATAACAAATCTAAAATATACAGATTAAAAACAAAAAGAAAAACCTAAAATGTTACTGAGGAGGCACAAAATCCATACTAATAAACATTTTAAAATTCAGGAATATGAAATCTGAAACTAAGCTTTGCTGTAAGGACACAAATCAAATGTGTAAGGAAGAAGGAAATAAAAAAGATTAGAAAGTGACAACAGATCTCTAAATTTTAGGAATAGCTAATAATCACTAAAGTTAAGGTGGTGGGTAACAGACATACCAAAAAGCACAATATGCTCAAGAAAAAACACTTAAGTCCGCCAAGTATTAGGGTTATTTGTATAACTATTTGAAAGTATAACTTACCGAGTACCATCTGCTTTCCAGCTTACTTTATATGGATTCTGCTCCAAAAGTTTAATATTTTGCTTGTCCATGGAAACAGGCTGTGCTCCCGGGAATCCAGACCTTAAAGAAGAACATTTTATTACTATCATGGCTAGTGTCCATACAAAGCAATACGTGCCTCAAACCAATTTCACATGAGTCACACATTTATCACAATGTTCTTCCTATCATGAGTATAATGTCAGTTGGAATAGTATCAGTTTTCACAGGAATGCTAAAAAAAGTTATTTTCTTGACATTTTAGAACACAAATTATCAAGGTTCTAACAGCCACTACTATTAAATATTAATAACAACTACTAAATATTAACATATAAAGAATTACATAGTAAAGCAGGTATGATTACAAGTCTTTTATTTCTGAAAACTTAAACACTAGCTTAATTTATATTGTTCTAGATCCCATAATCTTCTATCCTGATCTTGCCAATTTGGCATAACTCTGCAGAGTTGGCAAATTTCTGTTCAAAAGATGCCCAGAAATGACAAAATAGGAAGAATGTAGGTCAAAATTAAAATATATTGGCAGGGATTAACATATCAAATGCAATAGTATTGCATCATCATTTTCATCTTTTAGTAAAATTTTTCTAGCTGATTGATCTGTATGTACCAGACAAAAAAGATCTCTATATTAAGAATTTTTAACAATTAAGAATCCTGTTTCATCAAGCTCTAACTGTATCACAATTTTCTGCCAGACAGTAATGATCAACAAAAAATGACTTGAGAGCAAAGAATTGTCTCCTGATTCCTCTCCATGAAATGTCAAAAGTCATAAACACCTGCAAGTCATAGGAGGAAGCAGAATATCTTTAAACTGATTCTTGCAGGTTTTGGTTACAGAAAAACAAGGCACATTCAAGCTTTATCTCCTTTCTCTTAAGAAACTGACCAAATCAACCATTAATCAGCATCAATAGAGTCAAAGACACAAAACAAATATCAGACAGTGACAAGCATAACTTCCTATTCCTTTACGAAGATGTGTGAGCCATCTAATTTTGACAACTGTCTAGATAGTGTACTGCTTATCTTGAGAAAAATCCAACACTTAATGAGACATTTTCAAGAATGGTATGTAAACATACAAGCTTTAAAGAAACAAAGGAGTTATGTCAATGTTTGCATTAATGTTAAGTACAGTAGAGAAAGAATAAATTTTATATAAAGCTTTAAAATGGGGGGCTTCCCTGGTGGAACAAGGGATTAAAAAGAAGCACTATGAAGCTATCCATAGCCACTGCAGCTCCAGTTCGATTCCCCCAGACAAGCAAGGAGCTGACCCACATGGCACAGCAGACCTCTCCTGCCTTGCTGCTGCTCCCGTCAGCAGTGTATTTTCCATCAGTCTGCCTGTCCTGCTCCCCTCTCTGTCTCTAGTGAATCCTCTCACTCCCCACATCTCTGGTTACACCCCAGCTCTTGTGTGCATAAACAAATAAATCTTTTTAAAAAAATTTTTAAATGTTTATTACCCTTCCCAGCCACAGAACTGGTGACACTTCTGCTGTACCTCTCCTAACTTTGGTTGAGTTGTTACTTGAGTTACACCTTTAACAGTTACACCTTCCAGGAAAATAGCACCCTTAAAAAGAAAAAAAAAAACGTATTTTATTAGAATTCAAATCTATTTACAAAACCCAGACTGAAAAATACATCCATTTAGTTTCACAAACCTGCATAAAGACATAAAACAGAAATGGCCTGCTCCAGGAGGCTCTACCAACACCCCTAGGATATACACTATGTTTTCCTTAACCCAACCTGATTTTCAATGTGTTTTATATATATAAAGCATAGTCTGCATCATGATATTAAAGCACTTCACAGATATTACTCATAATCCTAACAGCAATAGTAATTTATCTACCATTAACTTAGAGCTAGGCATATATTATCAGGCATTTTATAAACAATTTCTGTAATCCTTATAACTATAGAATACATTGCATTATATTTCACAAGTGAATGAGGTATAAAAACTGTATGTAGTTTATTCAAGTGGCAAAAAAAAAAGAAAGACTCTGAACCCAGATCTACACTAAACCATTCACCAATGAATCTTATGTGGGAAGGGAGAAGGTCGTTGTGTCACTGGGAGATACACACCCACAATATATACCTTTGTAATGCAGAATAAGAGTATTAACAGTAAGCAAAGCGGCTAAGCTACAATCACTGAATATATCAACATAAAAAAATTACTATTACCCACTAATGAAGTTTTGATCTACGTTCTTTAACTCAGAACTACATAAATTGTCTTACTGTATTTTGCAGCAAGCATATTTCTAAAATATCACAGGGAAGTGAAGCAGATGGAGAATTTATATATCAAATAAACAAAGAACACTCCTGGAAAGTTTAAAGTCTAAAAAAGTAGTCTGGATTCATTCTGCAGTTACTTTCAGACCCATAAGAGGGCTGGCATCAGTCTGAAAAAAATCTATGAAGCTACTCTATCTGTTAATGTAATTAGGGAATAAAAATATGGTCTGCAAGTTGCAATGAACAACCTTCTGGCAAAGACTTGGCAACTCAAGTCACTTGGGAAGGGAAAAAGAACATTTAATATTTAATCCACAAATGTCCCTGTCAAATCTAGAAGTCCTGAGTCCATCCAGCAGACACTAGTACTACTTTCTGCCCCTAACTCTGAATTACTTTAGCTAACATGCTCCCTACAATGTTTTCCTTAAACTGGGGATTCGATGAGCTCAAAGATTAAAGAGTACATTCCCTCCTACTGCACCTCTTTACCAAGCAGTGAAATTTATCATAAAACCATTTCCATCCTTCAGTAAGAGTTCAATCCCCGGCCCAGAGGTGATCCACATGGCACAGCAGACCTCTCCTACTTGCCTACTACTTCATCAGTCAGCCTGTTCTGCTCCCCTCTTTTCCTCTGATGAATCCACTCACTCACCCGGTACCTCTGGCCTGTGCCACGGTTTTGTATGCATAAAACAAATAAATCTTTCAAAAAAAAAAAAGCCACTTCCACCATTAAATACGGTAACTAAAAAAATTATTTTTAGATGAGAACAATCAACCAAGTGGATGAGATTTAACTGAAATGTTCAATTAATATCAACAACCTTTAAAATTATTATATTTTCTAAGTAAAAAGCATGAGTATTCAGGGCCCCCTGGCGGCACAAGAAGTTAAGTCTCAGCACTATAAAGCTATCCACAGCCACTGAAGTAGTTCATTGATGTCCAGGGAGCTGACCCACATGGCGCAACAGCCCTCTTGTCTCACCTGCTACTCCCTTCAGCAGGGCATTTCAGTAAAGCTCCCTGTTTTGCTCCTCCATTCTGTCTCTGGTGAATCCTCTCACCCCCACACCTTTACCCTACACTCCAATTCTTACACGCATATATAAGTATTTTTTTAAAAAAGAATAAAAAAAGTATTCAGAAAATTTAATACTCAGCATCGTTAGTCCAAACATACTAAGAGCTTTTTTTTTTAAGTTTGCAGGAAGAAGGTATCTAACTTGGCATATAAATATGTATTTTCTACACAAAGAAATCAAGGGTATATTCTGAAAAGCATACAAATTAGTATAAATCAAGCCTAAAATGACAAAAATTACTTCTATTTTTAACAAATAAAAGGCACCAAAATGTAAGAAATAAGACCAACATTCAACCAAATACTTTAACACAACATTACTAGAAAAATATTTTAATAAATCTAAGCAGTTGAAAAGCTAAATATTTTTTGATTTAACAAAGCAAATAAATGAGTACAGATTTAACAGCCACTCAGTTTGTTCAGTTTGTTCAGATTTAACTCCAACCACCCAGTCAATGTCTACCATCCATTCGTTGTTCTTCTTTCTTATTCTTTCCTACAATGCATAGACTATTTAATTAGGTTACCCTATCTTTTTCTGCAATATACTGTTAAGTACAAAGAGTCATAGGAATCAGTTCAAATTTTTAAAAAATGTGAGCATGATGTATTTTAGCTATCCTAACTTTAGGGTAACTTATTTGTGGTCATCACAAGTTTCTTCTGACAAAAATATCATAAACTGTACAAAACTGTGTGATAATTCCAAGAAAGATCACTAGTTACAAATATCAACAACAATGTCCTAATTCTCGAAGTATTTTCAAACACACTATAATTAGTTCCAAAGTCATTAATATTTATTTTCACCCTTTAACAAAATAGCATTTCAAATTGTGCAAAGATAAAAAAGGGAAAAAATAATGCATACAAGTATATTTCATAAAAAGTCTGCCAATCTTAAAGTAGAAATTTGATTGGCTACTACAGAGTGAATCATCAGAGGGAAGTTAAGGCAATTATTACAAAAGTAAGGGCAATCTATATGAGAAATACATGTGTATATGTATATATAAAGGTTGAGTAAATATGGATGTGTATAATAAGCATATTTCAGCAATGAAGAAAATGCATTAATTTTGTCCAGATATGTTCCCAGACATCAATTCAAACATACCTGTAAGTCATACTTCTCCAACCCAAGAATAGCATGTTCTTCAAAAAATGAATGAATCAAGGAAATATATTAGGAATATCTAAGGACCAAATATAGGACATATATAAGACGCCATTACAAATACAAAGAGAACTATCTGAATGTACTACAAGAAGCCCATTACTTCAAATCAAATGACATCAGTATAAGATCATGAAAAGGAAACCCCTAACAAAAATAAAGCATCAAACCAAAATGACCACCTATGTTTAGCAATACGAGTTACAAAAATTCAGTGACCTTAGTTAACGATCTTCAACTTCAGAACAAACTTAAAGGAAAATGAAAAATTTCACTGAATTTTCCAAGTAAGTAAATCTATACTTCTTAACTAGTCATGACACTGGCATCACCCAAAATTCAACATTCCAGTCACATTCCACTTGGATCATCTTCTTGTTTCTTTCATCTTATCATTAATCACTGTCTCAGAGTTTCAGTATACACCCTGGAATGTCTTTATCATAAATAACCTTTCCTAACACCTCAATATTTTTTTCTGAATACCCTAAGCTCTTGACTAAACAGCAGATTTCCAACATGCAGACTTCTCTCTTAAATGAAAGCTACTCCACCTCCCAGAGCCCAAATCCCATCAGGGTGATATAAACCATCCTCCTATATCATCTTGATTTCCTGACCTCTTTTAAAAGCTCCTCTTACATTTACGTTGGCTCCATTCAGCTACCACACTAAGCTGTAGTGGAAATGACATCCTCTGTTGTTGGTAGCACAATAGCCCTGACTCAGAGATGTTCTCCCCATCCATAAAGACAGGGCCCTAACTATCATGTTACATGATATTACAGGATACCATCCCCTCCAAACAAAGTTGATAGAAGCCTGACTTAACCTGAACCCATGTGGCTTTCTATTCTGATAACTTGGAATTGAAATTCGGAGAGTTAAGTTTCTGCAAGTGGCTAAGCTTAAAACAAGCTTAGAAATCAGGAAACTCTGACCTCCTCCCCACCTTTTGAATTTAAATATGTATTGATAAATAAACAGAAAATTTAGTATAAAACAGGAATAACCAAAAAAAAGAGAGAATGGTTGGAGTGGAAGTGAAGAGATACCTTCACTTTTAAATCTGTATACTTCTAGGTGATCACAATTTTATTTTATATAGAAAATTGATTTTATGTCATTTGTGTACATTTTAAATTTAATAACTATAGTATAAAGTACAAATAAAATTAAATTTATTTAATAAATTTAACAAATAAGCGGGGAGAAGCCCTTCTAATAAGAAAAAAAAAATGCCAGTGGTAGAATGAAAGTTGTTTAATTTTCAAGCTTTCCTTAATTATGATTTGAAAAGAGGAAAAAACTACCAAATACTATATGAGAGGTCAGGGCTTTTTCTATAACTCTGCCTTTGGAAGTATAAGCTCAAATATCCTTGAAAATTACACCTCTTATAACCTTCAATTTGTAATCAAACCTAGCGGCTTTCTTTCAAAATGGAAAAGGGAAGATTTCTACTTTTGACAATGGTAGATAAGTTTATTCAGACCAATGTTGTGGTCATAAGAAAAAGCTAGACAAAATGTTTTAAAAGGCACCTATTAAGTCATGGTAGAGAATTAGAAAGGCAAGAAGCACTTGAAGAGCCAAGAACTCAGAAGGGAAGACTAGACTACCAAGGTGACCTGGACATCAGCTTGTCTCCACTAGGATTTTCCTCTAGAGGCACTGTTTCTAAATGGCCACTGAGAAGCTAAAAAGCACTTTCAGCTATAACACAGGTCTGGGGAAACACAAACTGGAGTTCCAGGCCATTAAGGAGTTGTCCTGTTTAACTTTCCAAGCTTTCAGTTAGATTGCCAAAGTGCTACAATCTAGGAGTCAGAGTAAACCAAAAACAAACCAGCCCCCAAAAAGTTTAACTTTGAATGACAATGTTTCATTCCTGAATCTATATGGAAAGTAAATCTTCTCTAAAGGAAGATAACATCCTACAATTGACTAGAAATCAAAAGGACATAAGTAGAAAAACTAAAAAAGGTCCAATGGAGATCAACAAACTAGAGTTATAAGCACAGACGTTGAAATAACTGGGAATAACAAATTCAAAAAATCAAAATACCAAGAATTGCAACAAAGAATTGAAAACTACTTTAAAACTCAAATGGGAATTCCAAAGTGAAAGTAAAATAACTGAAATTAAGTATTGGAAGGATGAACTTAACAGCAGCTTAGAAAAATAAAGAAGCAATCAGGAATTGGAAACTAGATCAGAAAAAAAGGTCCAAACTGAAAAATGAAACAATAGGAAATATAGAAAATAACAAGAGACAAGTTGTTGTTGTTTAATTTATTGGGTAAGTCACAGAAGGAAAGAAAAAAGGATGACTTGAAAAGAACATTCGAAGCAATGATAATAGCCAGGACTATCAAAAATAAATTTAAAAATCCAATCGTAGAATTAAGAATCACTGCAAATAGGAAGTAGGATAAGAAAGCCACAAGTAGAACCATCATAGTAAAACTGTTCAAAATCAAAACCAAAGAAATTTCCTTCACAAAAGCAAGAAAACAGCTGACTTCTCAACAGAAATGGATTATGGAATATTTTCAAACATCAACCCATTTGAGATAATCTCATACCCCACACATACAAAAAAAAAAATTCTTTAAATGAGAGTGAAAAAAGACCTTTTCACACAAATACTGAGAAGACTATATATCCCAGCAGACCCACATTAAAATACTAAATGGAACTCCACAAAGTTAGAAGGAAAAATATCCAAATAGAAACATAAAAATACATGAAAAGATGAAGAATATCAAAAAGGGAAAATGTGTAAGGTCTAAATATGAGTTTATCTAACGAATATTAACTATGTAATAGTAAAGTAAGTTTCTCATGGGATTTTAAATATAAAGAGAATTAAAATAAATACCAGATAAGAAGAGGTAAAGGGAATCAAGGTTTTAAAATTAGCAAGAATCCTAAAATATGCCAGACTTTAATAAATCAAAGATTCATATTAAAATTTTGGATTTAATCACTAAAAGAACAGTAAAGACAAATAATGGGCTGGGGTAACAGAATAATAAAAACAATCATAAAGTAGGCAGGAAAGAGAAAAAGAAACATATCCAAAGTGGCACATGCAAAAAACATAGTAGGATAGTAAGTTGAACTCTTAATTATCACAGTACCACAAATGTATATATACAAAATACTCCAATAAGGCAAAAACTGTTGACTAGGTAAATAATCACTGACAACATGATGCTTATAAGGGGATATACCTTAAATAAAGAGTAAATAAAGGTTGAAAGTAACGATAAAGAAAAGATATTCTGAAATACTATCCAAAAGAAAACTTGTGTGACCATATCAGCTACTTTACAATAAAAGTTAAAGACAAAATAACCTTTTACATGTATTTGCATAAGCCAAACACTTTCAAATTCAAAGCAAAACCTGACAGAACTACAAAAACAAAGAGGTAAATCACAGGGGTAATTTTTTTATATATTCCTTAGTAGCTAACAAACCAAACACAGAAGAAAATTCATTGGGATTTTATTTTAAATGTCATTTTCCATAAAGAAACACACCCATCTTAGCTATCATTCTCTTAATGCTGCTGGAGCTCACCTACAACTACAGGAATTTAATGGTACTTGATATTATCAAGTAAATGTCATTATAAGACCCGTCTGTTATAATACTTGACATTAACAAGTAAATGTCATTAAAGACTCTTCCTATTTGGAAAAAAAAAAGGATAAAGGAAACTTTAGCCCATTTGGCAAAATATAACTTTGTTTTAAATTCTTTTACACATTCAAATATTATATCACAACTTAAATACATTGAGCATATGCTGTTAATGATTATTATTTTAAAAAATCACCCAATTCCCTTACAAACATATATAAAAGGGCAATTAGCTATATGTGACATCACACTATTTATTAGATACTCTTTAGAATGTGATTATATTTTTTTCTAGGTATGTGATTCAGTAATTTTAAGTGCCTATATTCAGTAAACGATCAGTTACAGTGAAAGAGTGAGTTTGTTATTTTAATTATTTCTAAGTTTCAAGGCAATTCACACATGTCAGTGGCCTTAATGTCTTAAAGTTTTAAATGTATAAATACATATTAAAGCAATTTTTTTCAAATGGGGGTTTTTTTTGAAGCCCAAAATAACTATTACATGATTTATATATAATCAGGTCATTCTCTTCCTTGTCTGTGAATCACCTGTCTACTAATAAATGAATTAGCTTATTCATTTATATTCATGAGTTCACTGCTCAACCATGATATTCCATACATTTTAACAATGAACTTCACAACTCTGTAGTTCCACAGTTTCCATCACATTCCCTTTTTGGCCTGTATCACATAACTGTGTATGTATAAGCATAATCCTTTTCTTCTCTCCTGTCCCCTCCTCCCATCTCCCAAGAAAATAACATAACTCCTAATATTTTTGTTAGGTCTATTATTTCTAAAAGATTAGTGAGAAGTGACCAAAGAAGAAATAAGTCTTCTGAATTCAAATTTTACTTAAAATATGAAATTATCACTTATGGGAAAAAGCTAAATAGATAAGTAAAGGTTTTCTAACTATGAGTTGATTTTTGTAAAGCATTAGTAAAAATGTTCACTAAATTTCTTAGCTGGATATCAAAGTTCTTAGGTTTCCCTAAAAACAAAACCAGGATAAATTTATATAGATAACTGCATCTTTTCTTGTAAAAAAAAGGCAAAGACTCTTGGCTATCAGAATAAAATAACTTTATAAATCTCAAGAAACAGTCAACATTCCATTTTCATAAATCTCAGTATGTCTGCAGAAGAAAAAAGATAAAAACAATAATAGTATTTTTTAAACTTTACCAGTTTTAACCGTTCTTTTCTCCTTTTTCCAAAGGAGGCACTTGACCCAGGTTCTGATTCCTTTTTGCCATCCTCATCCTCATCTTCATCTTCATCATCCTCAAAACACCAATCTGGCAATAGAGGTGGAGGTGGTGCTTCCTCTATATCACCATAGCGACGAAAAAGTTCTTTCAAATAATCACCCTTATAAATCCCTGGTGGTCTGGCTTGGGCAAAAGTAGCAACTGCTGCTTCAATACTATGGAAAACAAAAACCATGCAATTTCCTCACTACTCTCTATTTATGCAGATTTATCAAAACCCACTTATTATATTCAAGGCACCTACAAAATATATTAGAAGTTTATGAAATGGGCAAAATCACAGCCCCCACTCTCAAGGCATTCAGTCTACTAAGGGACAAAAGTCATTCAGAAATGGTGTTAACACAAGCACATTGGTAAATCTTAAACTCTAGAGGTAAATTGCTGTAAGTGTAAAAGACCTGTGGAGAGTTTATGGAAAATTTAAATAAAACTCTGAAGGGTGAAGTCAAACTCTAAGTGAAATGTAAGTCAAAGAAATGTGAATAGCAACATGCTGGTTTTTCAGGAACTTTCAACAGAGTCAAGTAAAAAAAAAATCAAAAGCAGAAGTCAGAGAGGCTAAGCATAGGCCGAATCTGACACAGGATTCTGAGCTTACTGTGTAAAGGTGAGAAAGGCACAGCTAGAAGTACAATAAGTAGAGAACCATTAAAGATGTGTGAACAGGGAAATATACAGACAGATGTGCACTTCAGCTGGTTATATTCATAGAAGGGCCTACTATGTGAAAGGCTTTATAAAAAAAATAAATGACCCTCAATAAGTCAATAAGAAATTTCAATTGTTGATACCTCATTTTCAGGAATTTTGGCTTAAACTAAGGTTCTAATATCTCAGGATCTGAAAAGGCACTTCACAAGTAACAGCATGTCAATAAAGACATGCTGGTGGGTTTAAATAGAGCATCTGCCCAAAAAATAACTCCTCCATGCAGCATTACAAATTTTTCCTTTTTTAATTTTTTAAAAGGTACTATTAAAAATGAAAATAATGACTAGAGTAACTTCACTGGTGAATACAATTACAAAATTCTGGAAAAACTTATATATGATTAATTCTGTAAAAATACAGAAAGTAAGTACTTAATAGGTGGGACCCATAAACACTCAACTAAAATTCTACTGAGTAAAAAGACCATATAATAAATGTTATTCTAAAGATTAACCAAATCTAAAATTTTGAAAACCACTTAAAAATGTTAACCATGACTTCACCAAAAATTTTACAATATAAAATGCTACAAATAAAAAATAAAGTTTTTAGCAATTACTAAATATGTCTCCCTCTATTATAACAAGAAACAAATACCTCCAATCCATTTTCTCCACCAAAAAGGCACATATGAGGAAACCAGTGCGATTGAAACCATGGGTACAATGCACACCTAGAAAATAAAGCTTTGATTTAAAATTAATAAATCATTTCAGAGGCCATATTTTCCTTTAAAAGTCCAACCAGCAATCAAAAAATTTGAATCTTCTATGAAATAACTGCATTTAAAAAAAATACTCTTTTTTACTATTAGTAATTTGTCACTTTAAGCTGCTTTGAATCTTATTTACAACACTAGCTAAAAGTTTAAAAATAAGATATTGGTCTACTGGTTACAAACTGTCTGTAAAATCTATTTCTCTTAAAACTAAAAGAATCCAAATATTTTGGATAAGGTAATTTCATCAAACACAACTCTAAAGGACACGGACAGACACACACACACACAATGCCTCTGATCCACAAATTTTGGGTAAATTTTTCCAGTAGAAAAGAATAAATCCTTCTGTAATCAATGGCATACATTTGCAAGACAGTTAAGCCATGTAACAAAAAAATCCACAAGCAAGAGAAAAAAGAAACTAATAGAAATATAAACTAACCTGGAAGATGTTAATCAAATGTGATCAAAGTGACAACAGAAAATAAGTGACAAACTAATGCACAAATAATACAATAAAAATAAAATTATTTTGAAGTCTTCTAGAAAACACTGGCCATTTCTTTATTTGGCTTATAATATTTCAAAACAAACTTCTATTTTTCTTAAGCTTTTTTCAAGATTAATGTGGTCATATATTCTGAAAAACCTATAAATGAACTTCATAAATTCCAAAAATGACTGGTTCTTTTCATTTTGAAATCTTTTTTACTGCATTTGAAAAGTAATTTTTAAAAAAATAGATATGGATATTACTATCAAGTTAATGCACTCTTCTGCAAGCCTCAAAATGAAACTCTTCCTATTATCTCTAATTAGTTGAAGGATATGCTGACATTTAAGATTATCTCTCATTTAATGACACTTGCTATCAAAACCAAATACAGAAATAAACTAAAAGTTATCTATGTAGAGAAAATCTTTGCAAGCTAAGTGTAGGTAAAAGAATTCATATATGAAAAACAAAAAGCACAAAATAAAGGAAACTAATAAACTGGACTATGTCAAAATAGGAAACTAATAAACTGGACTATGTCAAAATAGAAAATATTTGCTCTTTGAAAGATGTTATTAAAAAAAAAACACAAGTCACAAAAAACAACCCCATATTTGGCAAAGGACTTGCATCCAGAATGCATAGAAAACTACAAAACCAAATTTTTTTTAAACTGGGCAAAACATTTGAACAGACACCTTATAAAGCCATATAAATGACCAAGAAGCATGTAAAAAAATGTTCATCGTTAATTATCAGGAAAATGCAAATTAAAACTACAGTAAGATTCTACTACATAGTAGTTAGAAAAGGTAATATCAGAAAGACTGATCGTACCAAATGTAAAGGAGGAGGTAAAGGAACTGGAGCTTTCATGCACTGCTGGGAGAAAAGTGAATTGGCAAAACTTTGGAAAAGTTATTCCATTTCTTAAAAATTTAAACATGACACCTATATCAAATGATGCAAACATTTTAATCCTATTTACTCAAGAAAAATAAAAATAGATGTGCAAAGACTTATACATAAAAATGAATGTCCACTGCAACCCAAAGACAAGTGTCCATAGTAACTTTATTAATATTGGAAAAATTTGCAACATCCCAAATGCCTTAATGGATAATCAATGTGGTATACCCATGCAACACTCCCTCAGCCATAAAAAGGAACTAATTGTTAATAAATGAAATGAGAATAATTTGAAAGCAAATATACTAAATGAAAGAAGAAAACATAAAAAATACATATATACATCATTCCATATTTATAAAATTCTAGAAAACACAAATTATTCTACAGGATAGAAAATAGAAAGTGCTTGCTTAATTTATAAGGCATGTACAGAGTGAGAACACAAAGGACAGAAGATGCAAATGCTGTCTTGACTGTGGTTTCATAGATGTCTATCAAAACTCATCAAAATCTACACTTTAAATAAATGCAGTTTATTATATTTAAATTATACCCCAATAATGCTAAGCTTTTTAATTAGATATTAAAGCAAGATGTGTGAACACGTCTTTAAATTACATTAATAACTTATTTCACATATTAATGTTCATCAACACTACCTGTTTTCAACTGACAATCAAAATTTACAAATTATTTATTTGTAAAAGTATATCAATAATTTTCATCTCATTTTTATAGTAGGGTAAGATTTTTTTCCAAAAAATTGATTTGCTGCTTAAAAGACATTGAGGGCTCTCCCTGGTGGTGCAACAGGTTAAAGCACCGTCTTATGAAGCTCTCTGACATCACTGCAGCACGAGTTCAATCCCCAGCCAGGAATCTGACCCACATGGCACAGCAGACTTCTTCTGACCTGCCGGCTGCTACCCTCAGCAGTGTACTTTGTCAATCTGCCTGTTCTGCTCCCCACTCTGTCTCTGGTGAATCCTCTCACAGCCCTTCACCTCTGGCCTGTACCCAGTTCTGTAAGTATAAATAAATAAATCTTTAAAAAAATTTTTTTGAAAAACAGCTGAATTTACTATTAATTTACTATTAACTTATGTACTATTTCTACATTCATAATAAACAAAATCATCATTAAGAATAAAAACAAGGAAAGGGTCTCCCTGAAGGCCTAGGAGTTAAGTCTAAGCACTAACACCACTTGAGTTTAATCCGTCACCAGGGAGCTGACCCACATGGCACAGCAGACCTCTCCAGTGTCACCACTGCTCCTCTTAGCACTTTATTTCAGCAAATCCACCTTTTCTGCTCACCACTCTGTGTCCGGTGAATCCTCTCATCCCCACACCTCTGGCCTACACCCCTGGTCTTCAATGGGAAAAAAAAAACTAGGAGAATGTACAAAGCTCAATAAATGAGGGAACAAAGAGGAGCAATCTGTGCAAATGTAATTATCCAAAAAGCACATGTGGCAACTATTCGTGAATCAGCATATCTAGAGCATGGGCTATGTTAAGAAAGTAATGCCAAACAGGAGAAAATGAGATAGTCAAAATCTTAAAGTAACTTGTGTACTATACTAAACATTATTGAGGGGGGGAGACTTTAATGTCTTTTTAAACATGACAATAAAATGATTATATTTTACAAAATCCACTCCATGGCAATAAACACAAGAAAGTGAGAAACAAAGAAGGCAGGAAAAACTAGTAAGGAAGCCATCCTAGAATTTAAGTGTATCACATAAGGGTCCAAATGACAGTGCATGGTGACGAGGATAATAAAGGTGGGCAGAATGAAGATACTTAAAGGTAGAATCCCCTGAGAAGTAAATGACTATGTACACTGAAAGAACTAAAAGAAGTGGGGTTTCTGATGGAGTAATTAATTGGGCAATGATAACTTTTATCAAATTAAGCAGGTACAGGAATTTACATCAGTCTTAGAGGCAAGACAATGATACTTAAAAGTATCTGGAAAAAATGATAGAGCTCACAGACAGTTCTGACAAGAGCTGTACATTCAAGAATAATCAGCTCAGAGTCAACTATATAGGGAAAAGGTTTAGAGTGTGGGTAAAATCACCAAGAATGGGTATATAAAATAGGAGAAAACAACTGAAGGTAATATCCTAAGGAAACTAAACTTTCAATAATAATTGTGGAAAAATTAAAAAAAAATAATAAAGAGTGGAAGTGGAGGACCATAAAAAAAGACTAAGAATGAACGAACAATCATGGGGTTAAATAAAAGAGCATGGAGTCACATGTACCATAAGCAAAGGAAGTTTCAAGCAATGAGTGTTAAACTATTTAAGTCACGTAATGATTAGACCTGAAAATCCACTATTTGATTAAGAATAAAGAGGGATGGCTCTAGATTGCAATGAAATAAGTGAGAATAAATGGATTCCAGAGCTGAACTTTCAAAAAAGGAGATGGGTAAGAAAGGGGACATATAAAATAGAAAGATATGGGTGTTTTTTGTTTGGAAGTGTGGATTGTTTAATATGAGAGGCTTAGATATGTTTACAGAAGGATTTAGTTAAAACAAAGAAATTGAAAATAGAGAATAAATATATAACTGAAATGAAACTTCTGGTGGGAAAAGGTAAACAATCTTGAACAAAAAAAGACAATTCTTAGAAATAATTGGCTATAATCACAAAATTCTATAAATTCCATCATCTCCATTGCTTTATAACAGGCTTCAAAAAAGTGAGAAAATTGCTATGTACACACTTTTAGTTCAACATATATCTTAATCCAGCATGTAAATTTCATTTCTGCTTTACATTTCTTTAATCAACAAATATTCTAATTTTATAGGTGTTCCTGCCTTAAACTCCTACTGTTTTTGTATTTAATTTTTACTCTAGCAAGACTAATTATTTCTATGAACAGGGAGTGTTATAATTGTCAGTTAAGTGATTAAGTCATGTGAACATATATAATTTAAGTACCAATGCTCTTTTAATATTCTTTGCTGTACAATTAAAATTTTAGGGCCCTCCCTGGTGGCGCATCAGGTTAAAGCACCACAATGCAAGTTAGCCACAACAACTGCAGTGTGAGTTTGACCCCTGGCTCTGGAGGTGATCCAAATGGCATGGCAGACCTCTCCTGACCTGCCCGCTGCTCCCCTCAGCAGTGTACTCCGTCAATCTGCCTGTTCTGCTCCCCACTCTGTCTCTGATGAATCCTCTCACTGCCCCTGCACCTCTGGCTGGACCCCATGTCTGTATGTATAAATAAATAAATCTTAAAAATAATAATAAATAAAAATTTTAGAATTATTGTTATGCTACACTTAAAAGTATTAGAGATGACTAGATATTTTTATGTAAGATAAAGGTTATTCAGGGGCCTCCCTAGTGGTGCAAGAGTTAAAAGTCAGTGCTATCAAGCTACTGCCAGCCAGTACAACTAGAGTTAGATCCCCAGTCAGGGAGCTAAGAGGTGCAGCAAACCTCTCCTGTCTTACCCTCAGCAGTGTATTTCAGTCAATCTGCCTGTACTGCGCTCCACTCTGAATCTGG